TATATATATATATATATATATATATATATATATATATATATATGTGCATTTGAGATAAAAAAAAAAGATGTTCTTTGTCTGCAAATATGTTCTAACCAGAACTCCTCAAGTGGTATAGATTTAGCTTCATCTCGTTCAAATTCTGTTAAAAAAAAAATGAAAAAAAAAAATCTCCTCTTGATCACATTTTGCTATCTGATTGTTAATCAATTAATCCAAATAATAATCAACAGATCAGCCACACACTGTATTAATAAGCCTAGCAGAAAGGGCTGAATGTTTCACATGTTGATGTCAGAAGTATTTTTTAGAAGCAGATGCATCATTTTCAAAAAACAACCAAGCGTTTACTAAAGAAATGCTGTTATTGCAAATTAAACAAGCGGCATCTCACACTATGACTAACTCACCACTGTTTAAAAACTTTCACCAGGACAACAGGCTCAGTAACAGAGCAGATACATGAAAAAGTATTTGCTCCTTGACAGATTTCCTCAAATTTTCCTGACGCATCTAAATGTTTCAGATCATGGTTCATCAAGTTTTAATAAAAACCAAAGAGAGCCTGAGGAACTCCCAAAAGCATCTTTCAAATAATGATTTCATTAATTAGGGAAAGAAAGGTATTTAAACCAACATGGACTTGTGTAAAAAGACACTATGAAACCAGAAGGCATGTCTACTTTAAGACTGAAGAACCTAAACTTGTAACGTGTGAAGACGACGATGGGGGGGAACCTGTGAGTTCTTACGCGAGGAATGCGCTTGGAGGGCTTTACGTTTCTGAACATACCGAACATGACTCCGCAGCCGGCTCAAACAAAAGCGTGTCTGCATCAGATGCTGAGGCTCTCCAATTCACACACTTGTATTGTTTCCAAGGAAATTTGCATTTTAGATTAAGTGGTTTGACTGGTATATCGCTCTGCTTCTCAACATCGTAAACAATGCGCTTTGCAACACATCACACCTCCTCACCAGGTCGTGTCAGTAAAGCGTCTCGCTTGTTATCACGGTCCTATCTGATGCTCAGCCAGATGACTGAGACACGGTCAAAAACAAAAACGCTGGAGGTTAAATGCAGCAGGGATAGATGCGTGGGTGGTACCCATATAAGTATGTGGGTGTTATATGGGTGGGGTGTAGGTACTACATACGCATGTGTGGGTTTTTGGGTGGTAGGTGTTAGATGTAGTTTTGCTGTTAGATTGAAGTTAAAGAAAAATACTGCGAACACTGCTTATACTGTACACATCAAACCTTTTGAAAACAGGAGGAAACGCATACAATGCCTTGCAAAAGTGTTTATACGCCTTCAAATTTTCCTCGTCTTCTGTTTATCGCTACATCTACAAGCTCTAATGCAGCAGAAATCCTTCATGCAGAGGGTAATGAAATATGGAGGACGAGTTTACACACAAGAATGTCATGTTTTAGACCTAATATGATCGTAAGATGAAGACAAAGGTGTCGGTTTATCTTAAAGTTTTATTATAAATGGTGCTTCATGATGACAAACATCCTTTGTCATTTGTACCCTTAAAAATTATGATGTCAGCTTAAAAAGACAATTTTCAGGACGGTAACAAAAAAAAGAGAGAGAGAGAGAGAGAAAAAAAAAAGGACTTCTTGCCTCCAGCAGTAAAACGCCTGTTTTAAAAAAGGTAAAAGCAGGATTTGAGGCACATTTTAAGACCTGTAAAAGTAAATAAATATAGTACTGCATATATGTGGGATTGTAAAAATGTTCTTTTTGGTGTGGTTATGTTACCGAGGTCTATGAGGATGGCGTGCTGCTGCGAGGTGAGTTGCTTCAGCAGCTCTTTGTATGGAGTGTGGTTGGAGGGGGGCCGAGAGGGAACCGTCTGCCGGAGCAAATACTGCTCAGAGAGGAACTTCCAGATCTCACCTCGATGCTGCCTTGGCACACCTGTCAGGAACAGGCAGAAAAACGATGCTTAGATTTGGGACAAATGTGCCTAAAAAAATGGTAATAAGACAAAGATTTGACATCAGACTGTAAAATATGGTTTATGGCCTGTACTTGCATAGCATGTATATAACACGACTGAGATGAGCAGAGCAAGATGTAATTTCCCCCCACCGTCTTTCAGAAAGTATTTTGAAAAAGTTGCCTTTATTTTAGTCATTCCTTTTGGGAATTGACCTGAATTCAAAGTCCAACTAAATACAAGCTGTAAAACATGCTTGTAAAACAAGATAGTAGGCCCTTGGTGCGCTGACATCACTCTGAACTATGCAAACCCTTGGAGTTGCACCACTAATATCAGATATTATTGCATCTAAAGGAAAAGATTGTCACATTTGGTGAAGTTTTGTGACTTCTTTAAAATCAAATTACTCGTTTGAATTTTATATTAACATTTATCGTTTCTCTTCCTAAGGTTTCCGCAGCTGTGACGCATGAATTTAAGTCCACCACTGCTCAGATTAGTTTTAATGTCAAGAGATAATCTTCCTAATGTTAATAGAAAATAAATAAGTAAAGAATATTCTGATTTTGCACAATGGACAAAACAGAGTGCTGACTCCCAGACAGCTAAAGGTGGTAAAAAAAAGAAAAAAAAAAAGGAAATGTGTAAAATAAATGAAAGGTAATTGTCACATAAGTGATAACATGCAGCCAATTAAGGCTTTTAAGCAAAACAGAAACAACTTTCCAAAACATAAAGGGGTCAGAGGCGAGCCGTACTTTAACCAAGTCTCTGACTCCGACTGCACACCTCACCACTGTCTCCCCGTCTTCATTCATATCCTTTACAATCCCACATCATCTAGCAAAATATGCTATACAAAATATAAATCGACAATATTTAGAATTCAATGTATATAAATACTGTAGTGTTTTTCTTTTGCTAATGAAGAAAATAATGTTTACCATGTGGATAGCTTTAAAAAACGGTGCTGAAGGTATGAATGCAGATGAATAAATGTCTAGAACTCTGCTGCCTCCTGGTATGTAGAAAACAGAAACTCTAAATCTAAAGTGACTCAGATGAGTTTCGAGGAGAAGAGAAACTTAATCAGCACGGCCCTTACATCACATCTAGGTCAATATTTGCAAATGTTTGCTGATTTTAGGGCTGAACAAATAGTTCCACGCAGCACTGCTGTATGCATCTATCTGAGAAGCCAAACGAGTACCTTGTGCAACTGCGGCATGTATGGTCTCTGTGTCAAATTTGACTTTTGTCCTGCCAGGTGTACTCAGGAGTTTCTCCCACACCACAGTGACCTCCTTCAGGCATGGAGTGATTTCTTCATAGTCCAGCTTCAGGCGCTTGTTCTGCAGATCGCTCTCTGAGGCTGTGGGGCAAACACAAAAACAACACAGGTAAAGATCTGAATATACCAAACCAGTCAGACCAATGCTTTAATTCAGACATGGGTGTCTGTGTTGTCACATGATCACCTGATAGGAAATATTTGCTACCTTTATGTCATTGGAAGAGTTTATAATCGCCAGCTGGAGTAGTGGTGCAAATATATTTTCTATCCATGTTTTTATTCATGATTCAACAATCGGTGTGAAAAAAAAAAAAACAAACATCCAAGATGAAAACCACTGCTGACCAAGAACACAAGGGTCCAAAACCCATCTTGATGATCTCCAACAAAACGTTTGATAGACTGACATGTAAAAAAAGCGTAAATATTTTGCATGGTCCACTTGCATCTGGAATAAATTTATCCATAATTTCAGAATCATCATTTAAAACTCCATTTAGTCAGGTTATATTAGTCTGATATATCAGTAAATCTTGTTTTTCTTTACAACCCTGCCACACATTTATTAATTTCTTTTTCTGACCTCATCCCTCTTTGGCTTCACACTTAGCATGACAATAACACACTGTTATTTATTAGAAAGCTCTGGGCGGTGGCTGCAAAGCTGATACATGCCACATCTTCATAATTAGAAGGTTAATTTCATGCATTCCTGTGCAGAAACATTATTAAACAGCCATGCAAATGATTTTTTTCTGCAAAAGTTGGATTCAGTAATATTATACTTCGGATATCTGTAATTTTCAACAAGCAAAAAACCAAAAAAAAGAAAAAAAAAATTAATTCCTGTATGTTATTGAGCATTAGAGTCGTCACTATAGGTAGATGGCTACAACCTCTCCCTGCTGAGGGAAATTCATTTGCATGGTGTAACCGAGCCCAGAAATGTGAGATTGAAGCAACAACGGAAAACAAAACAAAAAAAAAACAACACACACAAAACTGTGATTTCTGCTACCATTTTCACAACCCTGATCAAAGAATTTGAGGAAACACCCAACACCCCTCTCTTTTTTGACCGCACCCTTCCTCTCTGCCTCCCCAGGTTCTTCACAATTCATCTTTGCTTCTGTTTCTTTCTGCTTCGCTCTCCTCACTCAGATAATTCCACATCTGTGTCAATCATGAGCCGTGCTCTCCCTCTTCCCTCCTTCCCAGTCATGTGCGGCGTACGCCCAGTGACCGCCTGTGACTTGGCCGGGAATCCGGAGGAGTGATATGAGCACTTTGGGACAGGATGGAGACAATGTAGCGCGTTGCATTACAATCTGTTCTTTTATATCTTCCAGGAAATGGAAGGTATTATGGCATCATCATTGCATCACAAAATTGTAGCCAAAAACATCCAGAGACAACTGAAGTTACACCACAACCACTTTGGTGGGCTGCTTTTAACACAAGCAACCAAAAATATGCAACAAGTATATTAAGTGCCGGATTCAGAGCATTAGAAAGTTGAAATTGTTTTTCTGAGCCTCAGTATTTTTTCTCCCACTGATTTGTGATGTACAAAAACTAATAATCAATAAAATACACAATAAAAATGCCATGCAGATCTATCTGTTGAGTGAGGTCAAGCTTAAAATATCATGAAGACTTGAGCTTCCTACAGAACCACAAAGATGTGAGAAAGCTTAAGAAAGTAAGAGGGACAGTAGATGGGAAAGAAGAGAAATATGTGACAGAGAGATGGATATAACTTTTAAAACAGAACATAGAAATAAAGTGTGAATATAAGGACATTTTTCTGCTCTATTTTCTTTTCCTAAACTTATCCAGACTTGTAAAATATCTAAATCAAATTCCAAACTTTTCAAAGCTGCAAAGGAATGCTGATTATAAAGTGAAAAATCAGCAGTCAAAGAGAGATACGTAATGGAGGCGGCCTGGAAAGCAAAGAGGACAATAAAGAAATAAAAAAAAAAAAAAAACTGGAAGGAGCTGGTGGTTGACACACCCAGAGCAAGAATAGAGGCTGTCTGTCTTATCTGCCTTGAGCAAGCAGAATCAAGTCCATCAAGACTCGCTCTTTGGCAGCAGCCCAGCTGGCATGCAGTGGCTCCACCTTCCAGTCTCTCCTAGCCTCCTACTCTCTGGTTCGTTCTCTTTCTCTGCTGCCGGAACACTCCGCCTTTGATAACACAAAACAAGACAGGATACCCCACCCAGGAGCTGACAAAGATCCACACATAATGAAGGAGAGACGCACACATGCGCTTTCATAGTTACCCAAAAACAGGGCAGACAGACAAACTGAGCTGCACACAGACTAACGGGCAAGAAGTAGGACACAAAGGTGGAGCTCCAAAATAAGAAAAAACAAACGAGCAACTCTGCCGGGAAGATTCAATGTGGTAAAAATACGAACATGGGCAAATTTGTTAGCTTAGAGAGATTCAGCAGGACTTTTTTTATTTTGATGATAACACACCAATATCTCCGACTCCACCCGACTGCGGAGGTGATCATTTCTATTTGCGCGATGGGTGTGTATCACTTAAGGGTTTACAAGTAAGACAGGTAGTTATGGCAATGACAAACAGCTACTTGAAGTGTAGCTCCATGCCAACTCGGTCATCAAAGAGGTGGAGCACCTGGCACACCCTGAAGGTTTAGTTCCCGGTAAACACATGCAAAGTCACAAACAAAACATAATATGCTCTATTAATTTGAGGTTGTGGCAGGCCCTACACGAGAAAAGGTGTGTCCTTAATTACAGAATCTTATTTAATGCACATCTTAACAGGCTATGCGTCATAAAGAATAACTTGTTTTGACAGAAAGAGTGATAGTTATTTACAAATGAAGCACTGACCACTTAAAGACGCCGATACTGTAAAAATATTTCGTTTAAATAGATTTTGGTATTTAAGATGAAACAATATTTTTTTTGGCACATTTTGAGCTGCTGACGGGAGATGGTTGTTTATGATGCCTTCACTGATTACAGTTTTGTCATTTCCAGCCAAACAAGTCAGGGAGAACCGAGTAGAAAATCTAGAAAATCTGCCGATTCTGATCACCAGCCCATTTCTCTGTGTATCTCATTACGTTTATGATGATAAATTCATAATTTCAAATCCATTAAAGTTTGCGATGAGTTCATATTGTTAAGTTTGGATATTTAGCTGGTGTTACTTCCAATAAAAAGGCCAGAATTGTCTCTACATACAGATTCCCTCCTCAACACCATGTGCTGCTGTATTTATGACACAGACGTGTAGAATTTTTTTTTGCAAATCTATGAGCAAATATCAAAGTAAGTTTTGGTTCGTTAAGACAAATCCAGAGTAAACAGGTACCATTTAACTTGTCCATGCTTCCATCTCACCTTGCAGTTTCTGGTTCTCACTCTCCATTCGCTGCAGCAAGATCTGCTGTAGGATGGCCTTCCTCCACAGCTCCCTCAGCTCCACTTTGCTCCTCTTCGTCCCCTCCTCTGGCAAGGCTCTCATGGTTGAATCTCCATTACCTATCCCCGACACCTGGCCCACACATATCAGACCCCCATCTAGGCAGGGATCCACCCGCTCTGAAATGGGAAAACAAAACGTATGTTTAGAAAATATAGCTTTAATTCTGGAATCAAAAATAATGTGTGATCTTAGTTTGTGATTTGAGCTGCAGTCATTATGCAGCTTAAGTCACCCAACAAATACAGTGTAGTAATGCAAAAATCCTAGAAGTCTGGTAACTTTCATACCAGTCAAACTGTTTGGATTGTGCTGAGAAGTTCTACCTTTAGACACTGTGGTGGCATTCAACAGGATGCATGACTTAACAGTTTTTACATTAGTGATGTTGGGAGACGTCAATCTTCTGTCGTTTCGGACATTTCGAAACATCTCTAATTTCTGTAACTTTGTGCTTTTGCATCGGACCTCTGCACTACTACAGAAATAAAATCCTGTAGATTTCATTGCTGGAAAAATGGAGCAAACCAGAATTTTTATGTTGCGCCATAAATGTAAGTGACTGCAACTTTAAGGAAGTAGAAAACTGCACTGCTAACCATTTAATAGCTGATTTGCATCTGTTTATTGACCCACCTGTGTGATCTGTCCTCTGGAAAGTGGTGTGGTTGATTTACCTGTGCGTTTATTATTTACAAAATCTATATGTTTTGAAGAAAGAAAAACTGATTCCGGGGTGACATGTTTAAAATCAAAGAATCAAAACATGAAAAAAAATAAATAAATAGAGTGATTTACAACTGACGGCACAAGTGAGTAAAATTTGGAGCATGAGGATAAGCGGAAGCAGAGGGACGCTTAAAAAAAAAAAAAGGCAAAAAACCTGTGCTGTTCAGAGGAGGGACATACCAATTATCTAGATAGTGCTTCTGTTTTAGTTCTTAGGAAAATCATGATCAGTTTGATTACCTTGGCATCCACACGCACAAACAAGTATCCGCACACACACATATCTGCCCGTGCTAGATAGGTATGCATATTTGATCCTGATCTTTTTATAAAGTTCTTCTGAGGAAAAAAAAAAAAATGCAAGACAGCTTTTTGAAAAAAATAAAAAACCTTGGCATCAAGACAAACCTTGATGCCAAGGCATTAATAGACAAACAGGATTACAACTGTGTACTCTGTGCCAGGTTTACAATTTATGCACAGTTATCTCTTTATGTCTGAGTCAGAGAGTTTCTCAGACATGCTGAAACCAGCCATCACTACAAAGAATTATAGCTCTGCAGGTAGAAGTAAATGCGCAGACTGATTCAGGGGTGATGCAGACGAACACACGAATTTAGATAAAAGCTATTTAGATCTTTTGAGAGATATAGAGGTATACATTTCTTAGACAAACTCAGACGGCGACACTGTTGCAACAGAACCTCTGTGAGGAGTGGGGTGTGGAAAAAAAAACAAAGAACTTCATAGCTGGAGGCTTGCCTGCATTGAAAGAAAAAAATAAATTGCATAGTTTTTCTCATCCTAATTTACCCTTTATTGTTAAAGCTGTGTGTATGCCTGAATACAACATAAAAACCTCTCACACCCATTCATTTCTGCAAAGTGGCACACAGGCAATTTCCTGGGCAAGCAACACTGCTAGAACTTTGTTGAACACACACAAAACACACAAAGTGGGTCAACAAGACTGGTGCTTTCCTCTGGCGCTGTCTGTGTGTGGACTGTCAACATGACCTTGAAGTACCACCATCCCATGCCAACACACACTCTCTAGACACATCCATGAGCTCACAAAAACACATCCAACTCAGCGCTGCATTCAGCCAGCACAAAGTCCTTTGCAGTGACCCGCTAAAAGCTCTGTTTTTTCTGCTGCTGACTCAAAACGAAATAACGAAATGTTTGGTTCAGATCTTTTTATTCCTGCAGACAGACGTCTTCCCAGCTCCTTACCGGTTTCATTAGAGGAGGGAGGCGTAATGAACAGAAAACAGGCGCGCCCTCCCTACTCCCTAATGAACAGCAGTGGGATGGCAGATAAAAAGGACACAATAGTCCCACATTCCCCAACGTACTCACTAGATAAAGTTACCTCCCCAGAGAAAATCCCTGCGTGGGTGAGAGTGGTGGTGAAGACATGAGGGGGACGTTTAAAGTCACGACTAAATCTGATGATAGAAAACTGTAATTTCTACACATCGAAGGTTTATCAGGGCTGTGAGAAAGTGAGAGAGAGCTAGACTTAAAGCAGACAACAGGAAGGTTGTATATTTTACAGCAAAGTTTTTGTTTTATCCATCCATTTTCTTTACACCCTTGTCCCTTAGTGGGGTCGGGAGGGTTGATGGTGCCTATCTCCAGCTATCGTTCCGGGCGAGATGCGGGGTCACCCTGGACAGGTCGCCAGTCTGTCGCAGGGCAACACAGAGACAACCATGCAAACACACACTCACACCTAGGGGCAATTTGGAGAGGCCAATTAAACTGATAGTCATGTTTTTGGACTGTGGGAGGAAACCGGAGTGGAAACCGGAGTACCTGGAGAAAACACACGCATGCACAGGGAGAACATGCAAACTCCATGCAGAAAGACTGGGGCCGGGAATCGAACCCAGAACCTTCTTGCTGCAAGGCAACAGCTCTACCAACTGCGCCACTGTGCAGCCCTCCGTTTTATCCATTGGATTTTTTTTTTTTAAAGGGACATGCTGTGTTTGGACATGTTGACAGTGAGATTGGAGAATATCAGGAACGCATAAAACTGTTACACTAATACACTGGAATCACAATATCAATTACGAAACTTTCTTTGAATTATCACAAAGCTCCCAAGACTCTCTTTGAGCATACAATACAATACTACCAAAAACATCTAGCAAGGAGATTCTCTAACAAATAGCTCTTAAGCAAACCTGAAAAACAAAAATCAGGATTATTTAACCTCGGACAGTCATGGCTCAGAATGTGCATGACGCAGCAGAATCCCATCTCTTCTTGTTGTCATAATTACATGGTTGTGACTTACTTATAGTTACTGTGTTTGTTTGGTAAACACAAACTAACGTGAAAAGATCAACACCACGGTCTTTGCCATCTCTAGCAGGCATAAGAAAAAGTGCTTAAATGTGCTATTTTTGTTGCAAGAACAATATTTATGGCAATGTGCAAATTCAGTTAGAGGTGACAAAATCTGTCACTGTCCAGCTGTTTAGACCAAACTCAGCTTAAGAACATTACCTCAACTGCTTGAGCTACCAGAATATATTTTTTCTGTGTGTAATCTGATCTTAATAATAATAAACATAGGATTTAATATTATGCAAGCCAAAGAATAAAAAGTTTAGTGTTTCCAAGGATGAGTTGCATACATTTCATTGTGAACAAATTCTGCGACAGGTGATCGATATTGCATGATATTAAACAAATTACTTGCTTAAGATTAAGAGAAATACTTTAACAGAACAGTGCTGAAGTAGCCTGGGGTTTGACTGCGCTGTCAAATGTTCTGCCTGACTGAAAAATACAAGACAGAATTGTTGACTTAACCGCTGACATAAATCACCTGTCAGCATTTGTTTACAATAAAACGTATTCAAGTCATCCTTGGAGACACTAAACTTGTGTCATTTGTTGGGGTGCATGCTTATTAAACTCTTTGCTTTGATTATTTTAAGCATAAATTGTGCATAGAAAAATACATTTTGGCAGATCAAGCAGTCAAAAGATTAATGTTCTTGTACAGAATACATACAGGGTACCTGTATGCATGCATAGGTACCCTGTTTAGGTTTCCAGTTTGGAAAAGTGGAGTTTGAGAATAAGAATGGAAAAACGAAATGTGCATGGAAAACGTAAATTTCTCATACTTTATTCCTTATTTTATTTTCTGAAAGGTAATTACTTTCATCAGATTGAGATTTTTAATAGTTTCAACATATTCTTTCAGTTTGAACCTTTGTTTCAAGGAGAAAAAAAGAACAGACTGATGAAAGATGAATGAATTTGATTATATGAGATTTGAGACGTGAACATGTGTGCCTTGCAGGGCATCATGCTAATCCTATAATTCATATAAACCTTTCAGATATTAAGTGTAAGCTGCTGGTTAGTCTCAGCTTTATCCACTCTAAGAAGAGCTTTGTTATTAAATGCGCTGGGTTTACTCAAGAGTACGAGTCTGATTAATGTTTCCTGTAATTTTCCAAATGGAAATTTTAACTGGTCAAAGTTTATGTAGTCCTTTACACCAGTACTGCAGGACAAAGTACCAAAACAGTAGAAACTGTGCTTCTTTATGAATTATATTTTAGGAATGGGTATTATAATATCATTTATTTTGATTGAGTAGGTAAAAATAATTAACATTTTGATTTGTTTTGCAAACTATCAAATATAATTGATGATGTTTGCTAAACGTCAAAGTGACCAAAATCTGGGCCGGATTGTTATTTTTAACATGAATTAATTTGTCCACTTTTTTTTAATTATTATTTAATTTTTTTTTTTTTGCTTAAACAAAAAAAAAAAAAAAAAAAAAAAAAAAAAAAAAAAAAAAAGGGAAAAAAAAATTTAAAAAAAAAAAAAA